AGATCATAAAACATTCAGCATGGTAACATACTTTGTTTTAGTGACGTCAATGTTCGTAAATGTTTTCATATTATCATTCATTGGTGATCGTCTCAAACAAGAGGTATATTTTTTTATATAATTTTTTTATTTCGTATATTAAATTGTACTTTTTTAATAAGTCATTTTATGAATCAAAAAGAGTGAAAGAATAGGACAAACATCATATTTTCTACCATGGTACGATTTTCCGACAGAAGTAGCGAAAAATATAAGGATAATCATACTTAGAGCTAGTCGACCATCAAGCCTGTCTGGCGCCAAGATGTTAGATCTTTCGCTTCGAGTATTTTGTGATGTAAATTCCAATGTATTTTTCTCATTACGTTATTTTCAACGTATTGTTGTAAAAATTCTTGAAAACGAAAAAATTATTGTAGGTTTTTAAAACTTCAGCAGCATATCTAAATTTTCTGCGAACAATGACAGTATAAAAATCAATGATAGGAAAAGAAAAATTTTCCAAATGTTTTTTTTTTCAAAAAAGATGATAAATAAATAAAACTTAAGTAAGTATTAACATAGGATACATAATATAATTGTAATAAATTTTAATTACTTTGAATGATGAGAAATAAGAAAATGTTTTAAGAATGCTAATAAATGTTTTTAGCTTATAACATTTTTTTATTGCATTTTCCTATTTTATTGAATCATAATTAGGAACATACCTATGTGTCTTGTCGTAAATTTCTTTTTTAAAATTATTTTATAATTTATAATTATTCACTGGAAACTTTATCTTTGGAAACTTTAATGATATAAAAATAACAAATGTTCTCTGCAATATAATCAAAGAAATATCACAACTCAAATATTATTAAATCTCACGATTGTTCAACACTTCATAAATAATTAAGTCTCTTATATATAATCGTACAAATATTACAATCAATGTTATATTTTTTCAAAAAATATTTTCAAATAATAAAACAGATGTATATCATCTATGACCAGTAAACACAGGAACTAATCTGGATTGTGCATGCAAGGTATAAGTTCATAATTTGCCATCGTTTTGCGCATCTGCTGATTCTTACATGAACCTAGACATATAATTCTAACATTGTTGAAATAACTGCCATTTCCATTCCATGCTAAATTCTATATTATATATTTTATAAACGCACGCGCAATGTAAAGAATGCAGTTATATCGCAGACATACAGTAATGTTCACGAACTCTTAAGTCTTGGGAGAAAATAATGGAAACAAAACACGCGGAAAAAGATCTGAAGCAAGCGTTCTACGCACAACTGTTCCTGAAGATAATTGGTGCTTGGCCAATCGCTATCGAATCTTCTTTGAGTTTGAAAATACAAAAATGGTTTATAATTTCTTTCTCCTTTTTCTTGCAAATATGTATCATAGCTCCGTGCATTTTGGACGTGCTCCTGAAAGAGAAGAATGGAAGCAGAAGGATAAATCTGTTCATGCTGCTCATCAACACTTTAATTCAGATGTTCAAATACGTGGTTACACTGAACAAAGCGAACGAATTAAGGATAGCTATACACGAAATAAAAAAAGATTGGTTGACCGCCACGCCCGAAGATCGATTTGTCTTTGTCACGAATTCGAAGATTGGTCAACGAATGATGATAATAATGGCTGTCATTATGTATACCACTGGTGTCGGTTATCGAATGGTTCTTCCACTTTTGAAAGGGAAAATTATTCTACCGAATAATGTTACCATAAGACTACTCCCCTGTCCAACTTATTTTACTTTTTTTAACGAATTAGTTAGTCCATACTACGAGATGATCTTTATGCTGCAACTTCTGGCTAGATTTTTCATTTATACAGTTTTCAATGGCACGGCCGGGATTTCCTTGATGCTCTCTCTTCATATGTGTAGTTTACTGAAGATTTTAACGAGGAAAATAGTCGATCTTACGAATGGATCGGTTATCAGCGAAAAAATTATGCAGCAAAGGATCGTGGATATCATTGAATATCAAACAAGAATCAAAAGGTAGACAAAAATTTGGAATCTAACATCGGCTGATTGAAAAATGATAAATGTCAAATGTAATATACATCGTGTTTTCATCACTCTCTTTCAGATTTTTGAGTAACACAGAAATGATCACGCAATATTTTTGTTTTTATGATATCGGTTGTAGCACATGTCTTATATGTTTCATAGGATACAGTATTATTGTGGTTTGTATATAGCGAACAAAGATGAAAAAGATAAAGAAAAATTGGAATATTTTTACGACAAACCAGTATCTTTTTTATTTCAGGAATGGGAAAATCGTAATATTACTAATATAGTGATTTATTTTTCGGGATTAGTGACTTGCACTCTTATGATATATATAATCTGTTATATCGGTCAACTTCTCCTTGACGAAGTATAAATTGCATTATGGTTATTTATTTTAACTCGAATTTGTCTTGAATATTCTTTTCAGAGCAATAATTTAGCACAAACATGCACTACTTTAAACTGGTATCGTTTTCCAAAAAAGAAGGCCCGGTATTTGATATTGATAATTATTATGTCCAATTACCCTATAAAATTGACGGCGGCTAAAGTGGTAGACGTATCTTTAACTACCTTCACCGATGTAAGTACGAAGAAAATTATTATATAAATTTTTATTTTCAAATTTCGTATATTTTGCGAAATATATTTTCTAGGTGATGAAGGCGGCAGTGGGTTATTTAAATATATTACGAGAAATTATTTAATGTTATTGTTAACTTTCGTTACCACTTTTGAAATATTATATGTTTTGAGATATAAAAATATTTTTGATCACGCATAAAAAACAATGTTTTTGTTCGATCATATTTTTTTCAGATATATTTAAATTATTATTACAAATTATATAAATCTATTAATCTTGCTTTGTATTAGATATTTTAAAAGCAGTAATTATAGTATTTTGTTTTTTCTTATATAAAGTTCTTTATAATTTTTTATATATTCACTGTAATCCTTTGAAACATGAAAATAAAATGTTTTCTGAAATATCATCAAATAAATATTACGATATCACAATTGAATTATTATCACTTAAATCTTCTTATTAATAATATGATACAAATAATATCACAACTAATGTTATTCTTTTCAAAAAAATTGTACGTAAAAGAAATCTACCTGTGACTAGAGAACACGAAAAACTAACCTAGCTTGCGCATGCAAGAGAGAATTCATAGTTTTCTGCGCATCTGTTGATTCCTACATAAACCTAAACGTATAATTCTTAATATTGTATTCGTAACATTATTGAAATAACTGCTATTCCATGCTAAATTCTAATAAATATTATATATTTTATATTATATTGTATTATATATATTTTTTAAATAGTATTAATAATATTAATATTTTATAAGTAATAAAATTATTATATATTTTTTAAACGCATGCGCAATGTAACTATTGCTTGTTTTATCACAAACGTGCAGTAATATAATTATTTTTCTCAAATAATTATTTTTTCTCTTGTTATTATCATGAATAATTTATATTTATTTCTATTGCGAAATCGAACCACATACATGAGATGATATCTGCACAAATTTTCAGACTTTTGATCATTAAATCATAAATCGAAAGGAAATCCGATTTTGCTTGATAGAAATAAAGATATGGAAAAAAAAATTAATTGGTTATGAATATTAGTAATGAATATTGCAATTAATATCGGCCGATTCTTACATATTTAAGTCTTGGTTACATCGACACTTTGCCATGTCATATTATTTTATTTCTGATAGAAAAGGATTGTCAAAGAAAACACTCAGATCATCACTTATTTGATTATGTTTTCTTCATTATTGAGGATTCGCCGATTACGAGATGATTTTCGTTTTGTAAATATTCATCACCAGTATTATTTTGTCAGGAATTGTGAGACTTACAGGTTGATTGCTTCTATAATGATGCACTGCTGCGATTCGAGGTTATATCAATAGAAAGATCGAGATGCTTTGCAAGTGGGAAAATCGGGATTTGCATGATCATGTTATTGATATCATTCAATCTCATCTGAAAGCAATCAAGTAAAAATATTACATAAATATAACATTTGATCAAAAAACATAACATTATATAATACTAATTTGTTTTTCATTAATTTTATGTAATAATATTTTTTTTTATAGAAGTATTTTTACTATATGTTAGTATTAGTATTTCTACTATACGTTATACTCTATAAGTTAGGGTTACTTTTTGAATTATATACATATAAAGATATTTTGAATTGGAAAATCAGTGAGCATCATATATACTTAGTTATATTATTATAATTTTCTTTTTGCTATGTTATAGCAAAAAATATTATTAAATCAAAAAGAAAAATGAGATAAGAAATAAACAAATAAATCTATAAATGTTTTTAAAAATGGAAAGATTTCAAATCATTGAATAATATTTTGTTTCAATCATGTGAATTTCATCAATATATTTTCATAATTATTAGTGATCAATATATTGTAATGAAAATTCTTAAAAAAAGGAAAAAGTTATTAAGATTTACAAAACTTTACTAGCATATCTAAATTTTTTGCAAATAATAGTATAATAAGAATGAAAGATTCCAAATGTTTTAAAAAAAAATTATAAATAAATAAAGTGATTAAATAATAAAATAGCATATGTGATATCATTCTTGTACTATTATTTTGAACACAGAGAAGTAAAAAAATGTTTTGAGAACGATAATAAAAGTGTTTGATTTATGTCAGTCTTTCATTATTATCGCTATTTACTTGTTTTATTGAAACAAATATGAAACATATATGTTTTATCATAACACTATTTAATTCCCTATAATTATTTACTATAATCTTTTGAAATTTTGACAATATAAAAATAGTTTTTTGAAATATGATGGAACAAATATTACGATTTTGATTATTATCATTTAAGTTTTCTTATTAATATTATGATACAAATAATATTACAACCAATTTATTCTTTTTCAAAAAAATTTGCACGTAAAAGAAATCTATACTATCTATGACCAGAAAACATGAGAAACTAACCTGAATTGCGCATGCAAGGTATAAGTTTATAATTTGAAGCGTTTTCTGCGCATCTGCTGATTCCTACATGAATCCAAACATATAATTCTGTCACATCGTTGAAATAACTGCTATTCCATGCTAAATTCTATAATATATATTTTATAAACGCACGCGCAATGTAGCAGCTACCGTTTTATCACAGTAATATTTTCGAACTTTTAACCATTGAAAGGAAATAATGGAAACAAAACACACGAAAAAAGATCTGAAGCAAGCCTTCTACGCGCAGTCGTTTTTAAAGATAGTCGGTGTTTGGCCAATTCCCATCGAATCCCCTTTGAGTTTGAAGATACGAAATTGGTTCATAACTTTCTTCTCCCTTTTCTTGCAAATATGTATCGTGGGTCCGTGCATTTTGGTCGTGCTCCTAAAAGAGAAGAATGGAAAAAGAAAGATAAATCTATTCAAATTGCTCACCAACACTTTGAATCAATTATTCAAATATGTGATCACATTAAACAGAGCGAACGAATTAGCGATAGCCATGGACGAGATAAAAAACGATTGGTTGACCGCCACATCGGAGGATCGGTGGATTTTCGCGGCAAATTCAAAAATCGGTCAAAGAGTGATGTTGATAGTAGCTGTCACCGTATATAGCAGCGGTCTCGGTTATCGAATGCTTCTTCCACTTTTGAAAGGGAAAATTGTCCTGCCGAATAACGTTACCATAAGACTGCTGCCCTGTCCAACTTACTTTACCTTTTTTAACGAATTAGTTAGTCCATACTACGAGATGATCTTCATGCTGCAATTATTGGCTGGATTTTTCAGTTATACAGTTCTCAATGGCACTGTTGGGATTTCCTTGATGCTCTCTCTTCATATGTGTAGTTTATTGAAGATTTTAACGAGGAAAATGGCCGATCTCACAAATGGATCGATTACTAGCGAGAATATTATGCAGGAAAAGATTGTGGATATTGTGGAATATCAAACGAAAATCAAAAGGTAAGTGAATTGAAATTGAAATATAGCATTGGCTGAAAAATAAAAAGTATGTAGTATACCTGCATCGTGTTTTTTTTTTCTTTTTTTTTTTTCAGATTTTTGGGTAACGCAGAACTGATCACCGAATATTTTTGTTTTTACGATATTGGCTGTAACATGTGTCTTATGTGTTTCATAGGATATAGTGCTATTCTGGTAGAGAATAAAGTTGAGAATATAAAAGGGAAATAGAATATTTTTATGATAGTTGCTTCATTTCAGGAATGGGAAAACCATAATATCGCCGCTATAGTGGTCCACTTTATGCTGTTAGGGACTTGCATTTTTATTATATATATAGTTTGTTATATCGGTCAACTTCTTCTCGACGAAGTATAAATTACATTATTATCGTTATTTATTTTAACATAAATTTGTCTTGAACATTCTTTTCAGAGCAATAATTTAGCACAAACGTGCATCACGTTAAGCTGGTACCATTTTCCGACAAGAAAGGCCCGATGTTTGATATTGATGATTATTATGTCCAATTACCCTGTAAAACTAACGGCGGCTAAAGTGGTGGATGTATCTTTAACCACCTTCACTGATGTAAGTATGAAGAAAATTATTATATAAATTTTTATCTTCAAATTTTATACATCTTGCGAAATATATTTTTTTGAAATATATTTTCAGGTCATGAAGGCGGCAATGGGTTATTTAAATATGTTACGAGAAGTTATTTAATGTTACCACTTAAATTTATGAAATGAAATAATATGTTTCGATATATATAGAAATATTCTTGATCACAACACTTAGAAAAAACATAAAAATGTTTCCTCAATCACACTTTTTTCACATATATCACAAATTATTATTGCAAACTGATCTTATTTTGTACTAAATATTTTAAAAATAGTAATTACAATATTTTAATATTATTATCTCCTTATATAATTTTTCATAATCATAGTCTAATTATATTTTTTTTTGTACATGCATATAATTTATTGTAGCAATCTCTTTTCAAATATATTTAGTACATATATGTAAAAAAAGGATCAACAAATTATATTTGTTACAAAATATATTTATGTGATACATTGCAATTGAAAATAATCCTGAACACATGTTCTCAAATACATTTCCACTCTTTTTCACATTGTAAAATTGTACAAAATATTTTGAAATTGTTTTTACCATTATTTCCATTCCATTCATGTTGATGTCATCGTTCAATTTCAATTATATTTGAAAATAATCAAGTATAAATATTATATGATGTTTCATTAAAAAGATATAACACTATATTTATAAACGATATATAGAATAATATAGTTTATTCATTATCTATTTGTTAATTTTAAGAAAAAAACATTTTATAATAATATATTGTTTTTATACATGAATTTTCATTCTTTGAGTCTGCTGTTAGTGTCTTTTTTTTTTTATAATTTGGATCTTGATCATACTATGCCACTATGATTGATTATGACTGATTTATAGTTGCATATTTTTATTTCATAAAAAATCAATTCTAAATACTGCTTTATAATTATTCAATAAATCTTGAGAATATGAGAATATGAGAAACTTTGAGAATATGAAAATAAAATGTTTTCTAGAATATCATCGAACAAATATCATAATTATTATAATCACAATTGAATTACTATCAAATACGATGGTAAATACTTAAGTCTCTCTTAATAAACACTTATTTTTTTAACTACAACAAGTATATCATATTTCTTTATGTAAAATTGCTCGTGAAAGAGATCTACTATCTATGATCAAAAAACCTGGAAATCTAATCTGTACTGCGCATGCAAGGTATAAGTATCATAATTTGAATCGTTTTCTGCGCATCTGCCGATTCCTACATGAATCTAAATATATGATTCTACAACATTATTGAAATAACTGTTATTCCTCGCTAAATTCGACATTATATATTTTATAAACGCACGCGCAATGTAAAGGATGCAGTTTTATCGCAGACATACAGTAATGTTCACGAACTTTCAACCATTGGAAAGAAATAATGGAAACGAAATACGTGGAAAAAGATTTGAAGCAAGCGTTCTACGCGCAACCGTTTTTGAAGATAATCGGTGCTTGGCCAATTGAATTTTCTTTAAGCTCGAAGATACGAAAATGGTTTATAATTTTTTTCTCCATTTCCTTGCAAATGTGTATCGTGATTCCGTGTATCTTGGTCATGTTCCTAAAAGAGAAGAATGGAAGAAGAAAAATAAATCTGTTAATGCTGCTCACCAATACTTTGAATCAAGTGTTCAAGTATGTGATCACGCTAAATAGAGCGAACGAATTGAGGATAGCTATACACGAAATAAAAAAAGATTGGTTGACCGCCACACCTGAAGATCGATTTGTCTTTGTCGCGAATTCGAGGATCGGTCAACGAATAATGCTGATAATAGTTGTCACCATGTATAGCAGTGGTCTCGGTTATCGAATGCTTCTTCCACTTTTAAAAGGGAAAATTATTCTACCGAATAATGTTACCATAAGACTACTCCCCTGTCCAACTTACTTTACTTTTTTTAACGAATTAGTTAGTCCATACTACGAGATGATCTTCATGCTGCAACTTCTGGCTGGATTTTTCATTTATACAGTTCTCAGTAGCACCGTCGGAATTTCCTTGATGCTTTCTCTCCACATGTGTAGTTTGTTGAAGATTTTAAGGAGAAAAATGATCGATCTCGCGGATGGATCGATTACCAGCGAGAATATTATGCAGGAGAAGATTGTGGATATCGTGGAATATCAAACGAAGATCAAAAGGTAAACGAGAAATTGGAATGTCTACCTGAAAATGAGAAATATATCAAATATAGATTATGTTGTGCTTCATCTCTTTTTCAGATTTTTGGATAATACAGAATTGATCACGCAATATTTTTGTTTTTACGAAATCAGCTGTAACACTTGCCTTATATGTTTCATAGGATATTGCATTATTCTGGTACGAGTAGGAAATGAAATTGAAAATATCGAAGATATAAAGATATAAAAAAAATATCGAAGATATATTTTTATAATAAAACCAGTGTCTATTTTCAGGAATGGGAAAACCATAATATCATTGCTATAGTGGTGCATTTTATGCTGTTAGGGACCTGTATTTTTGTTACATATATAGTCTGTTATATTGGTCAACTACTCCTCGACGAAGTAGTACAAACTGCATTATTGTCGCGTATTATTATTTATTTTAACATGAATTTATATTTTCAGAGCAATAATTTAGCGCGAACATGCATCACGTTAAACTGGTATCATTTTCCAACAAAAAAAGCCCGATGTTTGATATTGATAATAATTATGTCTAATTATCCTGTAAAACTGACAGCGGCCAAAGTGGTAGACGTATCTTTAACCACCTTCACTGATGTAAGTATGAAAAAAGTTAATTTTCATCTTCAAATTTCATATATTCTACGAAATATATTTTTTAGGTCATGAAGGCGGCAATGGGTTATTTAAATATGTTACGGGAAGTTACCTAATCCCTTCGTTAAAATTATCCATAAAAATTCGTAAAATAGAGTACGATTAGAGACATAGAAATATTCTCGGTAGCAATACTTAGAATTGACATAAAAATATTTTCTCGATCACATATTTTCACATATTTAAATTATTATTAATTAACTAATTAAATATTCTATTATGTATTAGATATTTTAAAAGTAGTAATTATAATATTTTGTATTCTTTTACGTAAAATTTTAATAATCATAATATAATTCTACTTTGCATACATGACATTTAGCAAATTACTTACCTACTTATGACAATTTACATAAGTATCTGTACATATATTAACAAATTATTTGTTACAAAATGATATGCATGACACACTCTAGAATACTTGACTGATAGCAATTTTAAGTGTTTATCCTCAAATATACATATTCATTCTTCTGTAAGGTTAAATTTTAAAATCTTTTTCATTGTATTTTTCTTCAATTTTAAGAATTTCAATAATTGATCCATAATTATGAAAAAAACTCATCCTCCAAAATACTGGCTTTTTCCACATCTGCACGCTACGATCATAACCATCTTATGAAGTTCGCAAAACTTTTCTGGAAAATTACAAAAAATTACAAAAGTATTATTTTACTGTAATTTCGAATAATATATAATATAATAGAAGCATATAAATATTAAATTTTTTTTACAAATTTATTAGTATATAAAATATTATTTCAAATATTTTAAAACATTTAATTATATTTTTAAATTATTCTAAAAAAAATTATTCACATATCTGTTGAAAAGATGAACACTATAAAAAACCATCAATTGCTATAATGAAACTTTTCAGCCGTTCAGGAAGTTCAACGTTCAATTCAAAGTATACGTAAACGTACAATTTCAACCAATTTTCTCATCATTTCGTAAAAATTCAAACAATCCGCTATTCAACAATCCCCTCAGTTTCAATAACATCGATTCATTTTTAAATTTGCATACATGTTTAACATTTCATGTACGCAAGCGCAATGAAGTTTCCTCGCAAAGAAGCAATATCGCCGTATGCAACAAAATCAGTCACAAATAAAGTTTTCATCCGATTGAAAAATGGTCCAAATCAGAAACGCGAAAGAAGGCATAAGGCACACCTTTTGCTTCGCATATCCGCTCTCAAGAATGCTTGGCTATTGGCCATTGAACGTCCCCTCTTCCGCGTTTTCTAAAATTTTAAATTCCTTTACAATTTTTTTCTCATACTTGCTGCCATTGGTAGTCTTGATTCCAGGCCTTCTGTATGTATTTCTGAAAGAAAGAAATGGAAGGAAAAAAGTCAAAATGCTGATGCCACATATCAACAGTATAGCACAAATGACTAAATATACGATTATATTACGACGAACGAAGGAACTTAGCAAATTATTGGACGAGATAAAGAAGGATTGGTCGACAGCCACGCAGGAGAATCGACGAATTTTCAGCTCGAGGGCGTCCATCGAACACAAGCTGACGATGATAGTAGCGATCACTATATACGGTGGAGGTTTCTTGTACAGGGCGATTCTTCCACTTTCGAAAGGTAGAATCGTTTTATCGAACAACGTGACTATAAGATTGTTACCTTGTCCGGGTTACTTTGGTTCCTTGAACGAACAAGTTACCCCGAACTACGAGATAATCTTTACGCTGCAAGTTCTCGGCGGATTTGTCACTCACACAGCTGTATGCGGCATCAAAAGTGCTTGCTTGATGGTGTGCATGCATATGTGCGGTTTGTTAAGAATCTTGACGAACAAGTTAATGGATCTTACGAATGACAATGATGAACGAGTTGTACAGAAGAAGATCGTGCATATCGTTGAGTATCAGACGAGAATCAAAGAGTGAGTTTCGAAAAGGAATACAAAAATTTACGGGTAATTGTAGAATAGAATCATTGTGATCGAAATTATTTCAGATTTTTGAATCACGTTGATCAATTCGTACCCTATGTTTATCTTATCGAAATTTTTGTTGGAGTACTGATTACGTGCATACTTGGTTACTGCATAATCGTGGTACGAATAAAAGATTCCATGCATTATATCGAAAGTGATAATTTCAGTAACATTGTCTTTTAGGAATGGGAAGACAGCGATGCCATGGCTATAATAGCTTACGTTGCCTTGCAAACAACTTGCGTCTTTGGCACCTTCTCGATATGTTATGTCGGTCAACTTCTGGTCGACGAAGTAAACTATCTACTATTATTCCTGAAAAAAAAAATATATACAAAATATTAATTTGTTAGTATATTTATCAGAAATTTTATGTTTAATAGAGCGAGAGTGTTAGACAAGCGTGCAACACATTGAAATGGTATCGATTACCTACAAAGAAAGCTCGCAGCTTGATACTGTTGATCATTATGTCCAATTATCCAATAAAAGTCACTGCAGGAAGACTTGTGGACGTATCCTTAGTCACTTTTACTAGTGTAAGTATCAAAACGTAGATTTGTGTTCTTACTTTTTGCACATACTGCTACTTATTTTTTAGATCATTAAGAGTGCTGTGGGATATATGAATATATTGCAACAAGTTACTTAAGATCTTATATTTATGAGAAAAATATAAAATTTACCATACGATTGTAATTATCTAAAAATGAAATATTGAACTATGTATAATAAGTTGTACTTTTCTATTAAATGTTATATACTTTATTATCCCAACGTGTGATAAATTTTTGTATTTGTCTTGCATTTGCCATAATGAAACAAATATAAATATACCATATATATAAAAAATTAAAAAAACATTATCATTTGTAAAAAATTAATCTAGAATTTATAAATATTAAATTCTTTCACAATTATAATCGCATATAACATATTTTTCCAAATATTTTACAATTTTTATCAAAAGTTTTAACTTTGATTTTAAAAAATTATTATAATAAATATTATTTTAAATAAAAAAAATGAAATTTATGAAAAAATATTAAAGTCCGTTTATGGAACTTCTTAAGATGGAATTCATGCAGTGCAAGATACAAATTAATTTCAATTTTTTATACTAAAAAAAATTTAATATAATATATAGATAAAGAAAAATTACTTGTTTGAAGAAATCTGTGAATTTTCTACAGAGACAAACATCGATCACAGTAGAATAATATAGATATAATGAGTACTATGTATAGTTTTGATATCGCTGATCGAATGATTTTTCCTTTCTTCAAGGTAGAATTCTTCTACTGAATAACACAATTATAAGGTAGCTACATATTCTGATTGCTACGTGATTTTTAAAAAACAACATCGAATTATTTTTACAAATTTTCGTTGGATTTCTCAATTACTCTCTGCATTATTTATTTTTATTGAAATGAATTTAATATTGAATATTCTTTTCACAGTAATAATTTAGCACAAACATCATGTTAAACTGGTATTATTTTTTGACAAAAAAGGCCCAATATTTAATACTGAAGGATACAGAGATATTTTTTCTTCGTATTTTAGAAATAACTCTATTAAAACAATATCATTGATATCATATGATATTCTTTATCACATTTTACATTGCTTATGATGCTCTGTACTGCCGTCAATAGTATCAAATAATATTTGTTACAAAATGAAATACATGATATAGTACTTGATTGAAGATAATATTACACATGTTCTCAAGTACAGTACATATTCATTATGATATGAAATCGTATAGAGAATTTTAAAATCGTTTATACATTATTTTTCTTCTAATGTAGAAATTATGAAAATTCTCCTTTTATGTAGAATTTCAATAATTGGCCCATAATTATAGAAAACTTCTCCCCCATGAATATTTTCATATTTGCTCTTCACAATGGTCATCATTCATTCTATCGATTATAAACTTCGCAAAACTTTTCTGGAAAATTACAAAAAATTACAAAAATATTATCGAATAATGGTAAATATGAATATTGAATTTTTTCACAATTATTACGTACATAAAATATTCAATTCGATATTTTAAAATTATCACAATAAAAAAATGTTCGTTTATCCATTGAAAAGATGAGATACTACGAAAAAAATGTTATTACAACGAAACTTTTTATTCGTAGAGGAAGTTGAGCGTACAATTCAAGCGAAAACGTGTAATTTCAACCAATTTTCTTGTCATTTCGTAAAAATTCAAACCGATATATTCAACAATCCCTTAGTTTCAATAACAGCGATTCATTTCTAAATTTACGCATACGTATTTAATATTTCATGTACGCAAGCGCAATGAAGTTTCCTCAAAGAAGCAATTGCCGTATGCAACATGGTCAGTCACGAATAAGCTTTCATCCGACTGAAAAATGGTTCGAATCAGAAACGCGAAAGAAGGCATAAACCATACCCTTTGGTTTGCATATCCTCTCTCGAAAATAGTCGGTTGCTGGCCACTGAACATCCCATCTTCCACGTTCTCCAAAATTTGTAATTCCTTTATAATTTTTATCTCGTACTTGCTGTCATTGATAGTCTTGGTCCCAGGCCTTCTGTATCTATTTCTGAAAGAGAAAAACGGGAGGAGGAAGATCAAAATGATGATGCCACTTATGAGCACTATCGCACAAATGACTAAATATACGATATTATTGCGACGAATGAAGGAATTTAGCAAATTATTGGACGAGATAAAGAAGGATTGGTCGACAGCCACGCAAGAGAATCGACAAATTTTTAGCGCGAGGGCGTCCATAGAGCACAAACTGACGACGGTAATAGCTATCACTATATACGGAGGAGGTTTCTTTTACAGAATGATTCTTCCACTTTCGAAAGGTAGAATCGTTTTATCGAACAATGTAACTATAAGATTGTTACCCTGTCCGGGTTACTTTGGCTCCTTGAACGTTCAAATTACCCCGAATTACGAGATAATCTTCACGCTGCAAATTCTCGGCGGATTTATCATTTACACAGCTCTGTGCGGCGTGAAGAGTTCTTGTTTGATGCTTTGTATGCACATGTGCGGTTTGTTGAGGATCTTGACGAACAAGGTGATGGAACTTACGAGTGACAAGGACGAAAAAGTCGTGCAAGAGAAGATCGTGTACATTGTTCAATATCAGACAAGGATCAAAGAGTGAGTATCTCCATTTTTTTGAAAAAAGGGAGTATAAAGATGCGTGGTGAATCGTATGAATAAGAAAGAATTACATGCAACATAATCCAAATTTTGATTTCAGATTTTACAATTACGTTGATCAATTCGTACCCTACGTTTATTTTATCGAAATGATTGTCGGTGTATCAATTACGTGTGTACTTGGTTATTGCATAATCGTGGTACGAACGAAAGATTCGATTCATTATATCGAAAGTGATGGTAATTTCAGTAACATATTGTCTTTTAGGAATGGGAAGATAGCGATGCCATGGCTATAATTGCTTATATCGTCCTGCAAGTAACTTGCGTCTTTGGCACGTTCTCGATATGCTACGCCGGTCAACTTCTAGTCGATGAAGTAAATCATCTAATGTGTTATTGAATTGGGCAAAAATATATTTAATATTCGTTTGGATATTTATCAGAAATTTTGTTTTTAATAGAGCGAGAATGTTAGACAGGCGTGCAAAACATTGAAGTGGTATCGATTACCTACAAAGAAAGCTCGCAGCTTGATATTATTGATCATTATGTCGAATTATCCGTTAAAAGTCACGGCAGGAAGAATTATGGATGTATCCTTAGTCACGTTTACTAGCGTAAGTATCGAAATATTAGACTTTTACTTTTATATATATATATATGTATATATATATTGCTGCTTATTTTTTAGATCATTAAGAGTGCAGTAGGATACATGAATATACTACAACAAGTTACTTAAGATTTTACATTCATTGGAAAACTCTTTTAATCTACCGCAGTAATCAAAGATGATCCTGAACTATGTATAAAGCACTTGTTCACTTTCTTATCGAATCAAAATTTGAATAATTGAACCGCAATTACGAGAAATTTTGTATAATTTGTTCCTGTGTTGTACTCTTATATATGTTTATCATAATGAAAATAATCGCATTTATCCATTGTAAACTAATATCCATCGATACGATATTTTACAAGATTATAAACCATTATCATTGTGACTTATGCATTAGAATTTATGAATATTAAATTCTCTTAAATATCGTAATTGCATATAAAGTATTTTTATAAATATTTTATAACTTTTATCGAATAAGTTTGATTTTAAAAAATTCAAAACAAATATTACCGCAATATCGAATAGATGAAAAAATATCAAAGTGCTATTACAATGAAATATCTTTATAAGATATAATTTATAAAACAAATTTATATGTCATTGTATCAGATTTTCACTTCTTCACGAGAAACATCAATTACAGAATGGCGATAAAAACATTGTTATGTATGACAATATGTATGTGTAATGTAATGACAATTATCGAATCATTCTTTCATTTTCAAAAGACAATTTTTCTTTATAATGTAACTATATTGCAAATTGAACCATGTTTTTTATGTTTGTTATACATGCTATATATTTTTTAACAATTTATACGAAATTTTTTACGATACAAATTTTTGATGGATTTTTCAATTTTATCACTCTGTGCAATACTACAGACTTAATAGAATGCTTTGCAGTATAGTTTGTTGATGATTCTACATAAATAGGATGAATGAATCTTACCAATCAAATGAAACAAAGATAATTGAATCCACAAAGCTCATGAATATTGTTGAACATCAGAAGATTAAAAGGTGAGTAGAAATTTGATATATATGTTATATATGGATATTTTATCTGAAAAGAGATTATATTTATAGATTAGAGATTATTATATTAATGGAATGCATGATGATTGAAATATGATTTCAACTTTTAATTCACATTTTATTTTTATTTTCACAAGAATACATGTATGCATTTTTTGGACATATTTTTATATTTCAATATTCTTCATTCACACACTTTAGTTGAATATTCCTGAAAACGTAATTACAAGATAGTTATATTATATAACATTAATTATATTTTAAGAAAAAATAATAATCACAGTTTTAGTAATTTTTTTTTATTAGAATTCTCTCTTTTTTTGTATATTTTATGCGTTACATTAGTCAATTTCATGAAATATGATTAAAGATATAAAAATATTATATTTTTATCACATTTTTTACTTATTAAATTATTAATTTCATTTTATCTATTAAATTGTTTTTATTTTATATTAAATATTTTTTTAAATTATAATATTTAGTTGCCTTTTATATAAAATAATTTTAATTTTTCCCCCATTTCTAATTTATTTATATTTATCTATATTTCGATATTTTATTTATTTTTATTTATACGATATTGTCTTTATTCGGAAAGAGATATACCTGTTCTTCTGCGTGTCTCGGAAACAACTTTATTAAAATGATATTATCAATACTAATATTGAATAGAACTATCATTTTTTTTTATCGCATTTCACGATGCTTCACTAGCTATCAATGTTTCTAACAGTATTAATAAATTATATTTATTAAATTGATGAACAAGATATATAGTAGTTGAAAATAATATGCACAAGTTTTCAAGCACATATATAAGCTATAAAATCATACTGATAGATTTGAAATCATTTTTATATTATTTTCTATTTTACGTAAAATTTCAATAATTGACCATAATTATGTAGAAAACTTATCCCCCATGAATAGTGGGCCCTTTCATATCTACTTACTACAGCGGTAATCATAAATCCCATCAACTATAAACTTCGCAAAGGTTTTCTAGAAAATTACAAAAATATTATCATAATTTCGAATTATAATAGAAATGATAAAATAAATGCAAAATTTTTATAATTATTAAGTACATAAAATATTTTTTCAAATATTTTACAATACTTGATTAAATGTTTTAAAATTATTATAAAAATATCGTTCATTTATTCAATGAAAATATGAATACTACAAAAATCACTATTATTGCAACGAAATAGCAGAGGAAGTTTACCGTACAATTCAAGCATAATCCATACATATAATTTCAATCAATTTTATTATACTTTCGTAAAAATAAAATTGTTTCAATAACAGCGATTTATTTCTCAATTTGCAAACGTATTTAACATTTCATGTACGCAAGCGCAATGATGTTCTTCAAAGGGCGATATTACCGTATACAACATGGTCAGTCACGAACAAGCTTTCATCCAGAAAAATGGTCCAAATTAGAAACGCGAAAGAAGGGTTAAAGCATACCTTTTGGTTTGCATATCCGTTCTCGAGAATGCTCGGTCACTGGCCACTGAGCGTTTCTTCTTCCGCGTTTTCCAAAATTTTAAATTTCTTCATAATTTTTATCTCTTATTTATTACAAATGATAGTCGTGATCCCAAGCCTTCTATACGTATTTCTGAAAGAGAAAAACCCAAAGAAGAAGATTAAATTACTGATGCCACATCTCAACAGTATCGTGCAAATGATTAAGTACACGATTTTATTACGACAAATGAAGCAAATTGGCAAATTATTGGACGAGATAAGGAAGGATTGGTCGATAGCCACGGAGGAGAATCGACAAATTTTCAGCTCGACGGCGTCCATTGAGCATAAGCTGACATCAATAATTGCGATCACTGTATACAGTGGAGGTTTTTTTTACAGAATGATTCTTCCATTTTCGAAAGGCAAAATCGTTTCGAACAATATGACTATAAGATTGTTACCTTGTCCGGGTTATTTTGGTTCCTTGGACGAGCAAGTTAGCCCGAACTACGAGATAATCTTCATCCTGCAAGTTCTTGGCGGATTCGTCATTTATACAGCTGTATGCAGCACCAAGAGTATTTGTTTGATGCTGTGCATGCATATGTGCGGTTTGTTAAGGATCTTGACGAACAAAGTGATGGAACTGACGAATAACAATGATGAACGAGTTGTGCAGGAGAAGATCGTATACATCGTGGAGTATCAGATGAGGATCAAAGAGTGAGTATCGAAAAAAAAAGAAAGATGTATAGTTAATTGAATTAGAAAGTGTAATTCGATCTACGGAAGTCTTCATTTCAGATTTTTGAATCAACTTGATCAATTTGTACCCGCTATTTATCTTATCGAAGTTTTTATCCAAGTACTAATTATGTGTATAATTGGTTACTGTATAATCATGGTACGTTATATTGAAAATAATATAAATTTCAGTAACATATTGTTAGTTGTATTTTAGGAATGGGAAGACAGTAATGGTATGGGTATAATTACTTATGTTATCGTCCAAATAACTTGCTTAATTGGCACCTTTTCGGTATGCTATGTCGGTCAACTTCTACTTGATGAAGTAAATTATCTGTTGCTCATGGATAAAAATATAATATCAAACATTAGTTTGATGGGATATTTAACAAAAGTTTTACCTGTAATAGAGCGAGAATATTAGGCAGGCATATATTACATTGAAGTGGTATCAATTGCCTGTAAGAAAGTCGCGCAGCTTGTTATTATTGATCATTATGTCAAATTATCCAATAAAAGTCACGGCAGGAAAAATTATAGATTTATCTTTAGTCACCTTTATTAATGTACGTATGAAAACATTAGACTCACACACATTTTTTGCACATTTTTTGCACATTTATTTGCATTTATTTTCACTTATTTTTATAGATCATTAAAGCTGCAGTGAGTTACATGAATATGTTACAACAAATTACTTAAGATCTTACGTTTTTTGAAGGACTCATGAAATCTATTACACAATTCATGTAATTGCTCAAAAATCAATTATATACTCAGCACATTTATTTTTTTATTAAATTAAAATTTAAATAATTGGATCGTAATTAGAGAAGAAAATCGTATAATTTTTTCCTCCAGTATCCTTTTTATTTATTTTATATTTATCAAAGAATAATAATAATTGTAAACTTTATGAACGATACGATCTCTAGATTTAAAAATCGTCATTATAATTTATGCATCATGCTAGAATTTATGAATAATAAATTCTCTCACAATTTTCATAAATATATATTTGCATATAAGATAATTTTCCAAATATTTTATAATTTTCTATTAAAAGTTTGATTTTTGAAAAATTATCAAAGTAATAATATTCGAGTATTTAAAGTTTGTGGAAAAATAAAGTGCCTCATCAACGAAATAATTTTCTATGAAATGCAATATTGGCTATATATCTTTATGCTAAAGATGTATATAACCAATTTTCGTAAAATTTTTCATAAAAATTTAAATATGTTTCGCAATCTTTTCATGCTTTATGATCATTCTTATAACAGCAACAAAATATCGTGTAACATTTCATATTCTCAAATACAATAAAATTAAAATAAGTACTGTAATATTAGCAATCAGTACAAACTATAACTTATCGTTAAAAATCAATAAAATAATCTTATTCCTTGAAACATTGTGAAACTATTCGTTTTTTTAAATATAAACACATGATCAAAAATAAACACTTTCTGTTTTATCAAAAAGATGATGTTTAATTTTTTTATTTTTTATTTCATTTGACTTGATCTCAGATTCTTTCATTTTAGAAAGATAGATCTTTAAATCGAAAAAACACTGTAAGATTGCTATACATTTTTTAAGAAATAATATACACGAATGAATCACGAGATTATTTTTATGATATAAATTCTTGATGTACTTTTCAATTATATTTTCATTCTGATATAATTGATATTGAGTGAATTATTACGATATTTTGACTACACGTGTGGAGTTTAATAAGGATTCTAATAAATAAGATGAATGATCTTACCAGTCTGATAAAATTGATGACAAGACTTGTGCTTATGAAGCTTGCGGATATTGTTGAATATCAAATGAAGAGTAATATTACAGAGTGAGTAGAAATTCAATATATATTGTATATATATATTTTATTCCGAAAAAGATTGTGTTTATAAATTAGAAATTATTCAATAGATCAATAGAGTGTATGATGATTGAAATATGATTCTTAGATGTTTAGACATTGCTTTATCACATCACAGTTGAATATTCCTGAAAATTACAAGATAGTTATTCTTTGAGTATAACATTGTTCATATTTTAAAAGAATAATAATGAGACAATTTCAATAGTTTATTTTTATATTGAAATTTTTATATTCTTTTTTATATATTTATTGCATTGATTAATTTCTTCTCGATAAAATATAAAATACATTACACATAAATAATTTACATATAAATATGCATCATATTAAACTGATATTCCAACAAAAAAGGTAATTATTATATGTTCAATTATACTGTAAAATTAATTAAAAGATGAACGTATTATCTTATGTTCTGTAAAATATATTTTCGAAGTCATGAAGATATAGCATCATTTAATTTTTTTGATATGGCTCTCATCTCTTAATACATATCAATGAATGTATCAAAAAAATTGCAAGAAATTACTTAATGTCTTACTTAAATTATTTAATATTATCCACAATATTCATGAAATATATTAGAGACATAAAAATATTTTCTTGATCATTTTTTTTTTACTAAATTATTATTTTTATCTTGTATTATATTAAAATTTGAAATTACAATATTTTGACTGTTTTTATAAAATTTTAATCATTATAGTATAATTGTACTACTTATACATGACGCAACGTATACTTTTGTATACATGATATATGCTCATTACTTACCATTATGATAATCTGTTTTCAAATATTTGATATTTAGATATATCGAATAAACTATGCAAAAATTTAAAAACTTATTCTTCACTTTTAATTTATTTACAATTATTTACATATTCAATATTTTATTTATATGATATATTATTTTTATTCGGAGACACGTTCGTTTTTCTGTATGTTTCTGGAATAGCTCTATCAATATGATATCATCAATATCGTCGTTGACTAGAATTATCGTTTCCTGTATTTCACGATAGCTATGATGCTTCGCTAAATCCATCAACGCATCAACAAATTATTTACAGAACGACGCATAATACACAATATTTAATTGAAAATAATATTATGCTCTCAAACACGGTGGTTATGGTCTTCACTATCGTTTAGAGCTTTGAAACCATTTTTACATTATTTTCCATCTTATGTGAAATTTCAATAATTGACCATAATTATGTAGAAAATTGCCCTCTATGAATACTACCATTTCATCTGTTCACTAAAGTGGTAATCATCAATCCCATTAACTATAAACTTCGCAAAAACTTTTCTTGAAAATTACAAAAATATTATCATAACTGTTAATTACAATTAAAGAAATAAAATAAAAATTTAATTTTTTTATAATTATCATATAAAATATTTTTCAAATATTTTAAAATATTAAATTCAAAATTTTAGAATTATCATAAAAAAATCGTTTATTTATTTATTGAAAAGATGAATCCTAAAAAAAAAACATGAGTATTATTATAACGAAACTTTTCCGCAGAGGAAATTCACCGTACAATTCGAGCATAATCCATACGTATAATTTCAACCAATTTTCTCAATCCTTTCGTAAAAGCTCAAATCGCTATTCACCAATCCCTCCGTTTCAATAATAGCGATTCATTTCTTTGTACACGTATTTAACATTTCATGTACGCAAGCGCAATGATATTCTTCAAAGGGCGATATTATCGTATGCAATATGGTCAGTCACGAACAAGCTTTCATCGGACTGAAAAATGGTCCAAATTAGAAACGCGAAAGAAGGGTTAAAGCATACCTTCTGGTTTGCATATCCGTTCTCGAGAACGCTCGGTTACTGGCCACTGGTCTCTCCTTCCGCGCTTACCAAATTTTTTAATTCCTTCACAATTTTTATCCTGTATTTATTGCAATTGATAGTCTTGATCCCAGGCCTTCTGTACGTTCTGCAAGTGAAAAATCCCAGAACGAAGATTAAATTGCTGATGCCACATCTTAACAGCATCGCGCAAATGGCTAAATATACAATTATATTGCAACGAGCGAAGGAATTTAGCAAATTATTGGACGAGATAAAAAAGGATTGGTTGATAGCCACGGAAGAGAATCGACAAATTTTCAGCGAGAGGGCGTCCATCGAGCACAAACTGACAACGGTAATAGTGGTCACCATGTACGGTGGAGGTTTCTTTTACAGGACCATTCTTCCACTTTCGAAGGGCAAAATCCTTTTACCGAATAACATGACAGTAAGATTATTACCTTGTCCGAGTTACTTTGGTTCCTTGAACGAGCAAGCTACGCCGAACTACGAGATAATTTTCACGCTACAAGTTCTCGGCGGATTTATCATTTACACAGTTTTATGCGGCACGAAGAGCGCTTGTTTGATGCTGTGTTTGCATATGTGCGGTTTGCTGAAGATCTTGACGAACAAGGTGATGGATCTTACGAATGACAGTGATGAACAAGTTGTGCAGGAGAAGATCGTGCACATCGTTGAGTATCAAACGAGGATCAAAGAGCGAGTATCGAAAAAGAATACAAAGATAGTTAATTATACAAATTATTAGAAAGTGTAATTTAATCTACGAAAATCTTTATTTCAGTTTTTTGAATCAACTTGATCAATTCGTACCCGCTATTTATCTTATCGAAGTTGTTATCCAAGTATTGATTATATGTATAATTGGTTATTGCATAATCATGGTACGAATGATTTGATGCGTTATATTGAGAATAATGATGATTTTAGTGATATATTAATTGCATTTTAGGAATGGGAAGACAGCAATGCTATGGCTATGGTGATTTATGTTGTCTTCCAAGTAACTTGCGTCATTGGCACGTTCTCAGTATGCTACGTCGGTCAACTTCTACTTGATGAAGTAAATCGTTTATTATTATTTATAGATAAAATGTATTAAGTATTAGTTCAGATATTTAATAGAAATTTTACCTGTAATAGAGCGAGAATATTAGACAGGCATATAACACATTGAACTGGTATCGATTACCTGTGAAAAAGGCGCGCAGCTTGATATTACTGATCCTTATGTCACATTATCCAATAAAAGTAACTGCAGGAAGAATTATGGATTTATCTTTAGTCACCTTCACTAGTGTAAGTATCAAAATATCAGACTTGTATATATATTTTTTGCACATGTTATTACGTATTTTTTTTAGATCATTAAAAGTGCAGTGGGATATATGAATATGTTACGTACAGTTACGTAAGATTTTATGTTTTTTAGAAGATTCATGAAATCTACTATACGATTAGCCAAAAATGATATTGAATTATGTACACAGCACTTTGTTCACTTTCTTATCAAATCAAAATTTAAATAATTGAATTGCAATTATGAGAAAATTGTGTATAATTTTGTTCCTCCAACATTTACATTTATCTCAACAAATTGGTAATAATTTATTCATTTTAAATTTCATAAACGATACGATAAGGAATTACAAAAAATCACTATTATAACTTACACGTTATGCTTGAATTATATATGTTATTTGAATATTAAATCCTCTCACAATTATTGCATTGTATATGTATATAGAATATTTTTCCAAACATTTAAAATTTTTTTATCAAAAATTTTGACTTTAAAAAATTATTAAATTAATAATATTCGAAATATCAAATATTTGAAATTTATAGAAAAATATGAATTGCTATTGAATTGCTTCTCCATGGGATGCAATTCATGCAGTATTAGGAATATACATATAATTTCAATTAATTTTCCCCATTTATAAAAATTTGCGTTATTTTCATAATATTTCATATTTAAATTTGCGTATATATAAAGTAACATTTCACACACAAGTATAATAAAATAACATTTTTTGAAACTAATATCGTTTTCACAATTAGCAAATATAGAATTTTGATTTGTCGCTGAAAAAAAAATTAGTGAGATAATCTTATTTTTTGAAAACTTAGATGAGCTTTTGAAAATATTAGATGCATAGCCAAGACGCCATTTTCTATTAAATCAAAATTTATCACAAAGTATCGATTACAAAATGATGATAACATATTTTATCAAGTCAGTTATCAAGTGATTTTTTTTTTGAAAGACAAAATTATCCTTTATCGAATAACGCGGCTATAAGATTGCTATCTAAGGTTCCAATTGCTACATATTTTTTAACGATTTATATTAAATTACGAGTTTATTTTTATTATATAAACTCGCTGGATTTCTCAATTATACTATTCTATGCAGTACCATAGAATTTAGTATAATGCTTTGTGCAATTATTATGGATTCTAATAAACAAGATAAATGATCTTACCAGTCCATTTGAAGTGAGATATATGTAAGAAGTTCGCAGATATTGTTGAATATCAAATGAAAATCGTATAGAGTGAGTATAAATAATTGATTAAAAATTTAATATATTATATATGAATATTTTATATAGAAAATGATTATATTTATATTAATGGAGTGCACAACGATTGAAATTTGATTTCAATTTTTTATTTTACGTTTTATTTTTGCGAAATTCTTGAATATGTGTGTATAACCTTGTGATCGTAAATATTGCCTTATCATGGTATGGTTGAATGATTCTAAAAAAAAAAAATTATAGAATAATCATTTCTATGTATAATATTAATTATATTTTAAGAATAAGAAAACAATAATAATACAGCTTTAATATTTTATTTTATATTATATATAGAATATATTATATATTATATATAGAATTTTTTTTATTATCATTTATTATATTAATTCAATTATCATCGATAAAATATAAAGTGCATTATTTTGTCTTGAATATTCTTTTCAGTGTTCAATAATGCAAACATGTATTACGTTAAATTGATATTGTTTTTAGACGAAGAAAGCCTAGTATTTGATATTGATGACCATTATATCCAATTATTTTCTAAAATTAATGATGATCAAAGTTATAAATGTATGCTTATCCATATTTACCAATTATAGTAAGTATGAAGAAAATTACCATATAATTTTTTGTTATTTATAAATCTCATGAAATAAAAAAAATAATATAAATAGAGAGATAGAAACATATTCTCTATTACAACATTTAAAAATAAAAATATTTTCTCGATTATTTTTTTACATATCTAAATTATTATTGCTAATTAATTAAATTATTGAACTTATTTTGTGTTAGATATTTTTAAAAACCGTAATTACAATATCTCTTTTTCTTTTACATAAAATTTTAATAATTATAATATAAATTCTATTTCTTTGCATACTTGATATTACTTTTTATTGAAATAATCTATTTTCAAATATCTTTAGTATTTGTATTGAAAGAATATTTGCAAGAATATGAAAACTAACTCTCTAATTTATTTACGATTATTTACACTTCAATATTTTATTTATAATCTTTATTATAATTAGTTTTATAGATTAATTTTTCGGAGAACAGAGAGGAGCACATTCGTTCTTCTCTATGTTTCGAAAATTCTACTAAATCGATATCACTAATACTGACAATCAATTGTAGCCATACTTCAACCGTTGATAATATCAACAAATTATATTTGTTACATAATGAAACATATGATACACTGCAATTGAATGAAATTATATTGAACATAAATGCATTTTCAAATTTACAAAGAGTTTTAAATCCGTTTTCATATTGTTCTCCTTCTATCTTATATGGAATTTTAATAATTGATTCATAATTATGTAGAAAACTTGTCCCCCACGAATATTAAACCCTTTTATATCTGTTTCATCAAAGTGGTAATCAATCATCCTGCAAACTATAAACTTTGGAAAACTTTTCTAGAAAATTACAAAAAATTATAGAAATATTATCGTAATTTTGAATTATGGTAGAAGTAATAAAGTAAATATCGATTTTTTCACACATATTACGTACATAAAATATTTCTTCAAATATTTTAAAATCATCATCAAAAAATCATTCATTGAAAAAGTAAATATCACGACAAAATATCAATGTTATCGCAACGAAACTTTTCATCCACAAAAAAAAACAAAAAAAAAAGAAAAAATTCATCATAAAATTCAATTCACGTAAACGTATAATTTTAACTAATTTTCTTATCCTTTCGTAAACTCAAATCTATTCTATAATTTCTTCATGGATTAAGAACTGTTTCAATAACAGCGATTCATTTCTAAATTTGCGTATTTAACATTTTATGTACGCAAGCGCAATGAAGTTTCCTAAAGGGGTGATATCATCGTGTGCAGTAACATCAGTCACGAACAAGCTTTCATTCGATTAAAAAATGGCTCGAATCAGAAACGCGAAAGAGGGCATAAGGCATACCTTCTGGTTTGCATATCCGTTCTCGAGAATGCTCGGCTACTGGCCATTGAGCGTCTCATCATCCGCGTTCGCCAAAATATCAAATTACGTTATAATTTTTCTCTCGTATTTGCTCACATTGATATTCATGGTCCCAGGCCTTCTGTACATATTTCTGAAAGTGAAAAACGGCAGGTCGAGGATTAAACTGCTGATGTCGCACATCAACGGCATCGTACAAATGGCTAAGTATACGATTCTATTGCGAAAAACGAAGGAAATTGCCAAATTATTGGACGAGATAAAGAAGGATTGGATGACAGCCACGGAGGAGAATCGACAAATTTTCAGCACAAGGGCGTCCATCGAGCACAAGCTGACGATGGTAGTAGTGGTCACTATGTACGGTGGAGGTTTTTTTTACAGAGCGATTCTTCCATTTTCGAAAGGCAAAATCGTTTTATCGAACAATGTAACTATAAGATTGTTACCCTGTCCGGGTTACTTTTTTTCCTTGGACGAGCAAGTTAGCCCGAACTACGAGATAATCTTCATCCTGCAAGTTCTTGGCGGATTCGTCATTTATACAGCTGTATGCGGCACCAAGAGTATCTGTTTGATGCTGTGCTTGCATATGTGCGGTTTGTTGAAGATCTTGACGAACAAGGTGATGGATCTTACGAATGACAAAGACGAAAAAGTTGTGCAAGAGAAGATCGCCCATATTGTCGACTATCAGACCAGGATCATAGAGTGAGTTTCGAAAGAGAAATACGAAAGAGAATTGTTTAATAAGAAACGTGCAACGTGATCGAAATATGATTCATTTCAGATTTTTGAATGAGCTTAACCAATTCGTCCCCTCTGTTTATTTTTTCGAAATTATTCTCGAAGTACTGATCATATGCATAATTGGATACTGTCTTATCACGGTACGAACGAAATTGCACATATGCAATTCAATGCATTGTATCGAAAATGACGATGATATCAATAATATATCTTTTAGGAGTGGGAAGACAACAATATTATGGCTACAGTAATTTTCATTATCTTCCAAGTAACTTGCTTCATTGGCACGTTCGCAGTATGCTATGCCGGTCAACTTCTAGTTGACGAAGTATACTTTTTATTATCATTTATGGATAAAAATAAATCAAATATCATTTAATTATTAGGACATTTATCAGAAATTTTACCTTTAATAGAGCGAGAATGTTAGACAAGCGTGCAGCACATTGAATTGGTATCGATTACCTGTGAAAAAGGCGCGCAGCTTGATATTATTAATCGTTATGTCGAATTATCCAATAAAAGTCACGGCAGGAAGAATTGTAGACGTGTCCTTAGTCACTTTTACTAGTGTAAGTATCAAAACGTTGGACTTATTATTATTATTTTTTTACAAATTTTTTGTTACTTACTTTTTAGATCATTAAGAGTTCAGTGGGATATATGAATATATTACAACAAGTTACTTAAAATCGTACGTTTGTTAGAAAATTACCATGAAATCTATCATATGATACGTTAGCCAAAAATGGTATTACTATGTACACAGCACTTTGTTCACTTTCTTTTCAAATCAAAATTTAAACAATTGAATTGCAATTATGAGAAAATTGTGTACAATTTTGTTCTTTCAGCATACCCTTTGTATTTATTTTATATTTATCACAACAGAGATGGTAACTGCAAACTTTGTATACGATACAGTGTTCTGGAAAATTATAAAAAATCATCATTATAACTTGTGCATCATGTTAGAATTTACAATATACAATTGTAGATATTTTTCCAAATATTTTACAATTTTCTCATCCCAAACTTTGATTTCGATTTTGAAAAATTATCAAGATAAATATTAATCGAAATAGTTCAAGTTTATGGAAAAATATCAAGGTATAATTACGAGTTTCTCCATGGGGTGCAATTCATGCGATGCTAGGGATATACATAATTTCAATCAATTTTCTCATTCTTTTGTAAAAATTCAAATAACTGTTTCGCAATCTTTTCATGCTTCACGATTATTCTAATAACAGCAATTCGCATTTGAATTTGCCAACATTATTTAACATTTCATCACACGCAAGCGCAATGAAATCTTTGGAAACGAATATCATTTCTCCAACATTGCCAGTCACGTACGAGCTCTGACTTGATTGTCGTTAAAAGGGAAGTCAATGGGACAACCTTACTCCTTGAAACTCGTGTATCCGCTTTTGAAAATATTAGGCGCGTGGCCAAAATCCTCGCCATCCTCCGTTTTATCAACAATTCTGAAATGCTGTTTAATATTTATCTGTTATCTCATTCAATTGATGGTCTTGATCCCAGGGATTTTGTACATTTTTTTGAAAGAAGCAAATTTAGGCGGAAAAATTAAAATGTTTGTCCCGCATATGAACGGTATCACACAAGTGTCCAAGTATACGATTCTGTTACGACAAATAAAGGAATTTAACATAATATTGAATGAGGTGAAGAGAGATTACTCGTTGGCCACCGACAAAAATATGTGGATTTTCACCACAAGGGCATACATTGGCCACAAAATGATGATAGCAATAGCGATCGCTATGTACAGTTCTGGTGTCGGTTATCGGATGATTCTTCCATTCTTGAAAGGAAGGATTCTTCTTCCGGATAACACGACTGTAAGATTGCTACCGTGTCCCGGTTATTACATGTTTTTCAACGAACAAGTAACACCGAATTACGAGATTATTTTTACCATCCAAGTTCTCGGTGGATTTCTCAATTACACTACTCTGTGCGGTACTACGGGAATTACTACGATGCTTTGCCTACACATGTGCAGTTTGTTGAAGATACTAATAAACAAGATGAACGATCTTACCTGTCAGTCAGATGAATGCGAAAGGGTTGTGCGTAAGAAGCTCGCGGATATTGTTGAGTATCAGATGAAGATTATAGAGTGAGTATAGAAATGATTCTTTAAAAATTTGATATATGGATATATATTTTATACGAGAAGAGATTATATTCATATTTATGGAGTGCACGAAATCTCATTTCAGCTTTTTAAATCACGTCGAACAACTCACGTCTTATCTTTATTTTTGCGAAATTCTCGAATACGTGTGTGGAGCTTGCGTGATCGGATACTGCCTTATCACGGTACATGATTCTGAAATATAAATTATAAGATAGTTAGGATGTAACATTGATAACATATTTTAGGAATGGGAGAACAGTAACGGTGCAGCTTTAATAGTTTATTTTATTTTGGAGTTCCTTTGTATATTTTGCACGTTAACGATTTGTTATATTGGTCAACTTCTCATAGACGAAGTACGTTATCGATTATTTTACAAATATAAATATAGTGCAAATTTAACGCGAAATTGTGTATATATTTTAAATCTTATTTTTTATAGAGTGATAAAGTGAGACAAATATCTGTAACATTGGATTGGTATCGGTTACCTGTGAATGAAGCGCGTGGCTTGATACTGGTTATTATTATGTCGAATTATCCAATAAAAGTCACAGCTGGTAAAATTGTAGACATATCGTTGATCACTTTTACCGATGTATGTATTTATAAGAAAAAATTAAATTTCCTTTATTCTTTTCATACATTATTCTAATTATATTTTTCAGATCGTAAAGACATCTGTAGGATATTTGAACATATTACGAACAGTTGCTTAAGCTCATTTTTTTAAACAAATACGTGCGATACAACAGAAAGCAGTCGACTGAGATTAAAAGATAATTTTCATATTATTGTCATTTTTATTTTCTTCTATTTTTTTTACAGAACTTTATGTGTAACTTGTTCCCCTCGTATAGAACCCTTTCACATTTACTTATCATTCCGGTAATTATGGTTCCCGTGTAAACTTTGCAACCAATAAAAACATTTTTCTGGAAAATCGTAACTCCGTGAAAGTTTACATGTTTAATTTCATTACAAGTACACGTTCACAATACTTTAATATGTTTTTTATCACGTATGTATATATGAGATATTTTTTACGACAAATATTGATTATTAATTTTCATAAAATTTTCATATATATTCATATCTATATATATTCATTTCATATATATATAGATATGCTGAAAAGAATTATTAATTATTATTGCTCATTATTTTACATTTTTTTATTTATTTTTTTTTCATGTTGTGAAAAATTAACATGATCAAACTATTTTTTTATATATAACAATAGCAAATGTGTTAAGTATTTAAACTGTGAATTTTTATATAAACGTTTATGAAAAATTTAAGTATTTAAAATTAGAATAAAATATATATATATATATATATTTAATATATATAAATATACACGTGCAAAATATTTAAAGTAAAATACACAGATTCAATGTATTAAGATGTAATTTATACAAATGAATATACCATTGAATTCTGAAAAAATATTACCTTATTGTTGGTGAACATTTCTAAAACCGTTTTTAGAAAAAGAGATAGCAGATACTATAAAACTTCTCATAGGGGGCATGCATCGCGAGCAGCGGTAATTTCATCCAATTTTCTTATCCTTTTGTAAAAATTCAAAACATTATTCCCCACATGCATTAAAATCGTTTCATATTTGCGGATATTTAAATCTTTATAACACGCAAGCGCAAAAAAGTCTCCTGAAATCATTGATGTCTTCTGTCACAACATAGACAGTTCCATTCTATCGATCATTAAAATGTCTCGAGTAGGGAAAGCGGAAAACGGGATGAGGCATACCGTATGGTTCGCGTATCCGCTTCTGAGAATATTGGGCGCATGGCCAAACCGCGTCTCATCTTCCACACTTTCAAAGATTTTGAATTGGTACTTGATATTTACCTGTTACACGTTGCAATTAATAGTATTGGTTCCAGGATTTTTGCACGTATTTTTGAAAGAGAAGAACGGGAGAAAGAAGATGAAAATGATGATACCACAGGTGAACGGTTACCTGCAATTATGCAAATATTCATTAGTGTTACGATGGACTAACAAATTGAGAGTCTTGTTGGACGAGATGAAGGAGGATTGGTTGAACACCACGGAGGAAGATCAATTGATATTTCGCGCGAAAGCGAGTTTTGGGCACAGAGTGATGTCGATGATCGCGATCGTCACATATAGCGCAGGTCTGGGTTATCGAACGATTCTCCCCCTTTCGAAGGGGAGAATCCTTTTACCGAATAACACGACTAAGAGATTGCTACCGTGTCCGGGTTATTTCGTCTTTTTCAACGAACAAGTTAGCCCGATTTACGAGATTATATTCATCATCCAAGTCCTAGGTGGACTCCTTACCTATACCATTATGTGCGGTACTATTGGCATGTGCGTGATGTTTTGTCTACATTCGAGCAGCTTGTTACGCATTTTATTGAATAAAATATGCCAGCTTACGAAACAATTGGATGTGAACGAGATGGTTGTGCACGAGAAAATTGTGGACATTGTGAAATACCAGACGAAGGTGAAAGGGTGAGTGAAGAGAAAAATGAAAATAGTTTAAGAGATGATGTAGTTAATTTGATTTTTCAGATTTTTAAAGAATGTTGAACAACTCACAACGTACCTTTTTCTTCTCGAGATCATGGTCGAAACGAGTATAGGATGCGTGATTGGATATAACGTTGTCACGGTATAGAATGATCATATGTTTATACTATGAACTTGTAATCTATGAAAATTAATGTGTGAAAGTTATAGTGACAATTAAATTGTGCAAAAGGATAATAGTGATTTTACTTACGATAATACTTGTAATTTTAGGAATGGGAAGACAGTAACGCTGCAGCTATGATAATTCATCTTATGATGCAAGCATCTACTGTCAGTTGCACATTCATAATGTGTTATGTCGGTCAAACTCTCATTGACGAAGTATGCTACTATATATGTTTTTCATACTCTCATGATTATCACAGAAATTTTGTTTCAACCATTATTTTTGTCAGGGCAATAATGTAAGAAAAATGTCCATCACGCTTGATTGGTATCGATTCCCTGTAAAAGAAGCACGGAATTTAATATTAGTGATTATTATGTCATCTTATCCAGTAAAACTCACAGCA